TAACGTTGGCCTCTTGACCAGGCCTAATTCATTCAACCAGTTATAAATTAAATGCAGTTTATTGCCTTAACAATTATCCAACATATATAGGTATAAAATATAAAGATCCTAGATTGTTTGTTCACTAGTAGCATTAGCTGAATATAAGAATATTTTCTGCACGAAATTTGGTGGCACCACAAAACGTTTTCAATACAGTAATTGCCGTGGTTTTCTCCACTTCCATCACTGCCAGCTGTCATACTTAGTGTAATACCGACTGTTATACAAGCCGGGCCAACATCGAGCTTAGCTATTAGGGGAAAAACCCGTTTGCTGTGTGGCAATCTGTAGACACTTTGCACTAAACATAAATTTCCCAGCAGTTTGACACGACACGGAGAAAACTCGAATTATATGCGACGAGTACATGGATTGGGCGGGTGCGTTTCTCTGTGTGTGTGTGTGAGTGTGTGCTCACCCACACCAGAACCCACTCACACACACACAAACACACACACTGACAGCTGTGCGTGAGTGTAGAGCAAGCCTTCAAATTCCCCCGGGGACTTTGGCAGAGTGCAATGTCTGTCAACACTAATTGTTGGCTCCTGCTCAGCCGCCCGACTGCTGTCTTTTGCTACAATAATGTCGTGTGTTCCCGTGGATGTATATTCCGGTGTCAGGCCCCCTAATGCCCCGCCCCGTTTCCCAAGCCCCTGCCCCATTGGTTCTCTGTCCGCAGCCTGGTGTGTTAATCCAGCTTACTAGTAAGTACACTAGGCACAAGCTGGCGTTCCTTAAGTTTGTTATTAGGTTAAGCAACAGAAGAATATCTAGATTGAAAGGGTTATACTATATAGAATGTTTTGGAGAGGTTAATTAATAAAAGCTTGAGGTCAATTAGCCTTCTACTTACGATTTCTATTTCCAACTTTTAACTAAAGGGAATTTGTCTACCTTTTATTATTAGAGTAATTAACGAACCAATCACATTTTTTTCTCCGTGTAGGCTTTGAGACAGGAGCGAGGATGTCCTGGCATCGGCATTAGCTTTGCTTTTGGCTTATATCCTGCCAGCCGCCCGCTGCAGCCCGAATGGCTCAATTTTGGTGGCGAGGACAAGACAAATACTAGTACAAGCCGTACTACATAACACTAATACTAACACTAATACTAATGCCGCCCCGGGGCGGGTGTCTAATTAAATTGGGTCAAACCGGTTAACTCACTTGTCTTTGGATTACGTTTGCATCCGACTAAATCTCGGCGATGGTCCACCCACCCCCTCCCCCTTCCCCTGCTCACATGTGTGTCCTTTTACCTTTCACCTGATGCCGCACTTTCCCTGCTTCCCGCCTTTGAAAAACTGCCCTTCCTGCGGACGTAACAAATTGCTTTCAGCCAGCCGCTGGCCTCAGAATCAAATTATTGTCCTGGTCTCGTCCTTCGGTTTGGTTAGCTCCACACACACACACACTCTCACAAACACATACAAACACACACACACACACCCACACACACGCACAGAAAATATTGTCTTTTGGCGAGTTTATTAAAACTTTCCACCGACCAAAATCGAGACTTGGAGCCGACTTCTCGGCTTGGCCAACTTCTGACCTGTTGCACGCTGACTTTTCGGGCACTGCAACTGCCACGCCCACCGGGAGTTGCACCGCCCACTCTTCGTGTTGGCGAAAAGTTGGCGGCCAAGTTTGCAGCGCTTCTTGGCTAAATTGTGTAATTAATTTCGAGTGCCAAGTTGGGAGGACAATGCTGGACCTTCGGCTGTTGGCGTTGTAAATTCCATCAATTAAATTTGGGGAGTTTGCTGTTTTCCTGTCCAAAAAACACCCAGTTTACAAACCATTTTGGGAAGTATGTCAAAGATGCATAAATATTTTTCGAAAGTCTTCTGCTAACAAACGATATTAACAAGCTTTAACTTCATTGCTGAAACTCGAATCGAAAAATGCTTCAAACATTCCAATTACCAAGGCCCGAGTTTCGTTTTGAGCCTAATAAAGCTAATAAACGCCTGGCAAACGTAGCCAAATTTGAGCCACATATTTGTTTGGCAGCAAATTGATTCAATTAGTCCGCAAATGCGAAAGTAACTGAGTCACTTTACCTTAATCCAATCCGATTCGATTCTCTAGGAATAAATAAAACTAACATAGTAAGCAGAGGAATTATAAATTTGACATGTGCTGTGCAATAAATGCCCGAAATCACAGCCCACAAACTCAAAGCAGCAACGAGGTTCACACACAAGTTGAGATACACTTACAGCTACAGATGCAGATACAAATACAGATACAGATACAGATAGAGATTGCGATTTAATTTGCCACAACAGTAAGCCGCATAACATCGCTCTTTCTTCTCGGGGAACACGCAACTCGGAACTCGGAACTCGGAGGAAAACAAACTTGTCTAATCCAATGAAAACAAGCAGCTCAGCTGCGATTGATAAGGCAGCTCTAACTAACTAACTAGGCAACTGGATCCCCGACCCCCAGTCCATTGCCATTTCCATCTTCTGGATACCCCGGAATTTATCCTGACAACCGCTTAGCTCATTTGACTGCTGCCAGGACGACCCTTTGGCAATCATATCGTCCGGTTTTCGGCTTTAAGTCTTGGGATTTCGTTGGTAAATACTTTGCAAGCGGCTTCAAATCTTCGGGCCGAAGTCAATGGAGTTTTTGGGGAGGGCCATTCAAAATAGTGGGCTTAACTAAACTGAGGTGACAACATTTAGCCAAGTGCAATTTACAGTAAAATTGTATGCATAATTTCAGTTATGACACTTGCGGTGCACACACACACACACACACACATTCAAAGAGAGAAATGTATTTGCAATCTGATGCACAAATAGATATGGTTGCACATTCCTGTACACTGGCAGAAAAATACCTCTTACAGCAGCAGCTTTAGCACAAATATCATTTGCCTAGATTTTTTACCGAATGAAAAATGTTTGCTAGTGATTGGTTTCTTTTTATTGAAATTATAATAATGTATTTTTTTTCGCAGTGCATGTTTATATTTGCGTATGGAACTGTAAGTAAGTGGACTAAGCTGAATTCCAGAGCTGCCTGCAGGCAGCATTTAATTTATGTTTTCCTTACCACTCCACTGAGGACAAACAAAGGGGAAACTCGTATATGAAGAGAAATCAGAGTCGCAGTATACTTCTAATTACAAATTGCCAGATCCCACAATACAGAATCCAGAATCCAGAAACCAGAATCTCGAACCCCGAATCATATAATAGCTACCAAACCCCAGGACCAGTTGATATCCCTTAAATCCTTTTTATGCCCGCGCGCAGCCTTTGATTTTTGCAATATCAATTAGCGTAAAACGCGTAGGCCGCCAAAAACTGGCGAAGTGGCGGTGGGTGGTGTTACAGCCCATAAGGATTTGCAGCTGCTGATTATTTCATTAGGCGAAAGTAAATTTAAACGCCAGCCGCACGTTAAATTTATGTTAATTTCCAAAGGGCTGCCAGCCAAAAAGGATGCGGAAATGGCATAGACAAGGAACAGGAGTTGGGGAAATGTGGCAATGGGGAAAATGGGGAGCGAAACTGGAGCAGACAGCCGAGGAAATGAAGATGTTCCAAGGGGGCGGGGCGGGGCAATCCGAGGATAATAAAGGCGGAATAGATGGCGAAACTTTATCGGGTTGCTCTCATTGTGCATTTCCACATTCTTTCAACGGCCAATAATTAAATTTGCACTGCTGTGTAAAAAAGTTGTCTGGCAAAAGTTTCGAGCTTAACTCAATTTAGGTAAACCAAACAGAGTTTTTAATCTAAACCAAAACTAATTAACTCCAATTAAAACTCACTCTGCAGCTCATCTGTTTGCCGGAATTCGTCTAAACTCATTTTAATCAAATGTCATACACAAATTCCCCAAAAAATGACTATCTCGCTTTTTGGGAAATGAAGCGTTGCCAAGCCAAAACCGAAACAGAAACAGAAACACAAACATAAACAAAATCATCATACTTGCAGATAGATAACTCTTCCGTGAATTCAAATCCAGATCTACGGCTTGTTTTGTCCGGAGTATGGGGATATACCCCCGGGTATTTCTAGTTCGCCGGCAGTGTTCATTAATTAAAAACAAATTTGTATTGATAGTCGACGACGGCCAAAACAAAAACAGAACAGAACAGAAATATGAAACGAAACGAGATCGGGCGATCAGGTGCCGTCGGCTGGAGATTACTTGTATATAGCTCACAGATTGGCCTGACACGGCTTGGCACTCGGCAATCGGCACTCGGTACTCGTCACCCCGATACCGATCCCGATACCGATACCCACACACCACACTCTGCACACTGAGTAACTGAGTACGAGTACCAATCCAATCCCATCCAATCCAAGCCGAGCCTAAACGAAACGCGATTCCAATGCCCGGCCACCAAAAAACCGCACATGTGTCGCCGATCAATGGCAAACATCTGGCGGAGTCGCCGGACGATCGGCCGTCTATATCTCTCCGCTGGACTAATGAAGCCGGCAGCGTTTTAGATACGTTCGCCGGCTAATTATTCCCCAGGGGATCCTGGCCACGAATCAGTGGAAGCGATCGAGCCACGATCGCAGTGAATGCATCTCTTCGTGCCCAGTATTTATTTTATTTTATGGAGGGTATATTCTTTTAAAGGGAAACATTTACTATATTCTACTTACTACTTATTAAAAATATACTTGATAAAAATAAAAGTAATCCTTTTGCTAAGAATGCTAATGTTATATTTCATATTTATTTTAATTCAATTTATTTTATTAGATGATTAATATTTTTCAAGTTTATTTCAATTTATACTAAAAATGTGTAAATTAAAATTCTTTAAAAATTATATCATGCAAATAAAGTCAATTTGGCATCCTTTAATTACAAATCAAATTTACAAATGTCTGTTTCGTATTTACGAGATTCGTTTTGTAAAATCGACTATCTTGAAACAAGGGCATCTGTGAGTTTGAACTCGAAGATACAATTGCGGCATAGAACCGACAGCTGTCATCAATTTTCCCGACGTCTGTCCGCTTGATGCGAGTGTTGTCCGGGGATATTATAAATATTTGGACACTCGACCGGAGACCGCTCACTTGCCACCATGGACTTCTTTGCGACGGGCGGATTCCAGCAGCTCTACAGCGATCTGGATGAGGAGCCGCTGGCCGGCGGCGATGCTCTATTGAATCATGCCAGTGTGGCGGACTTCGAGTGCTCCTACGTGGCAGGTGGCTTTCCCAGCGACAGCCACCACCTGGAGGAACCGGATTACTGCGGCATCATCACCCTGGACAGCAACAACAACAACAACAATAATAATAATTATAACAGCAGTGGAAGTGGAGTAATGACGGATCTCTCGTACGCAGAGAATCCCTCCCTGTTCATCGACTTCAACGAGCTGGCCGTCTGTCCACCGGACTTGAGTGACTGGGAGCAGCGGCTGCTGGACAACTTCGTGGAGATCCCGGAACTGGTGGACTTCCTGCCAGAACGGACGCCCCTCTGCACGGACAACTGTGCGGATTTCCTGGAGGAAAGCAACAGCAATCTCCGTCTGGCGGGGCCGCCGCCCGAGATCCTCGCTCCCGACAGGTCGCCAGCCACCAGTGTGGATAACTCTACGCCTGCCCAGCCAGACTCCAGTCCTACGCTCCAGATGAGCGAGAATGCCGCCGGCGAAAGGGGCTACCTGTGCACCTTCGGCAACTGCGACAAGATCTACGCCAAGCCCGCCCATCTGAAGGCCCACCTGCGGCGGCATCTCGGCGAGAAGCCCTACGTTTGCAGCTGGCCGGACTGCGTCTGGCGGTTCTCCAGATCCGATGAGCTGGCCCGCCACAAGCGCTCCCATTCCGGGGTGAAGCCGTACAAGTGCGACTACTGCGCCAAGTGCTTCGCCCGATCGGACCACCTCACCAAGCACCGGAAGGTCCACGAGAGGCGACTCCTGGCCGCCAGCAGAGCGGGCAGGATCCTCTCCGACGACCTCTATGCCGTGCGACCAGGTCGCAAGCGCAGAAACCAGCTTTAGTCGCCATTCCAGCTTCTAATCTCTGAATACTTCTATTGTTTACTTAGAATACGCTGTATGTCCATCTAACATATCCACTTATATTTTAGTTAATTATAAATGATTAGTTAATGCCTTTTGTTCATCATGGATTGCAGATTGGTTGTGGGAAAAGCTACAGGAATTATGAGCTCTTTTTTTCTTGGTGATTAAGTAATAAAACATTTCACTCATTAGTTAATTGGCGGTTAAAAGGAATACAAATAAATTAAATCGAATCACACGGATTAATATAAACAAAAGCAAAGCAAAATTATAAACGGATAATGAAAATGCATTTAAATGAGCGTAAAAAGAAATCGTTTAGTTGAAGAACAAGAATCGTAGAGTGGGGTTTAATTCAATGCAGATACAGTTTTGCAAAATGATGAAATAAGTTTAAACAGTAGTAGGCAGTGAATCACGTGTACCCATCTAAATTTTTAGAGAGCTCTACTATTTATATAGCCGTAGGCAAAGTACAAAATTGTTCACATTGAATTGCTTATTTATTTGTTACAATAAACACAACGTTTGAAAACATGGACTCGCGGATTTTTGTTTTGGATCAACTGAGTCGAGTGCCCATTCGATGTCCCGTGGGCAGTTGTCCTGCCACCTTGTCCACCCTGGACTTGCTCATCCACCTGAAGGACCAGCACTGGTCGCCGTCCACACTGGAGAGGCACCTGCAAGTGGCCTACGAGGGAGAGCGCTGCATCCTGTCCTTCGATCACCTTAAGCTGCCGCCACGAACAACGATCTGTCTGGGCGTGATCCTGTTTGCCGGTAAGCGCGGAATCGGGGAGAGACTGCCAGGGGAACGGGGACTTTGCCACCGGAATCGATTGCCCTCGAATTTGGGATGGGAGCCACTGGAGGATCACCTGCCCATCATGGTCTTGGCCAGAAGGTGTGCCTTCTTCGAGTGGTTGACGCAGGACAAGAGATCAAAATCAGGGGACGAAATTCCCGGTCATTGGTATTACCAATTTAGAGATCACGCAGATCAGAGCAGGCAGCGAAGGAAGGAGGAACTGCAGAAGGAAGAGGCATCCTGCCACTCACACTTCAACACTGGAGAGCCCTCAAAACCAACGAGGGAGAATCAAGCCAATGGAAGTGGAAGTCAGGACCACCAAGAACCCAGGAACCAGTTTGTGGATCTCGGCGGCAAGGATTCTCAAGATCGGAAGAGCAAGGAAAGGAAGGACGAGGGGCAGAAGGACCTGGACATGTATCTCATCTGGACACAGAGTGTGCCGTGCACCAAGCCTCTGTACTTCTCCATCACCGCCTACGATCGCATTATGTCCGAGGGGAGGAGCGCCCTGCGATTGGTGGCCAACTCCGGCATGATTCGTCCGGAAGTGGATGGCAAGCAGCTGCCCAAGGCCAGGAACTCGTTGTGGCTCAACCAGCAGGAAGTCGAAGATTTGAGTGGCACAGAACGCATCCTTCGACTAGAAATGATCCTGCAGGAGGACCTGGAGTCCGTCTGATAAAGGACTCCGCCCCGCCAAGGATCCTCCAGCTCGCATCCTTTATGCGCTGTCATATCGCATACTTTACGGCTTTCAGGGCGAGTGCTTTCGTACATTTGAAGTGAATTTATAGCGCAACTTGCTTGTATAATGGCATTTACTTTATGCAAACATCGCCGAGGAGCGGAGCCTCAAGGAGTCGTGCTGCAGGATTCTGCAACAATTATTGCCCCACTCGTTAAAGCAAACTGCACAGGATACATCCCCCGTCCATTCCCCTTCCGTTCCCTTCCCGCTTCTCTCCTCGTTTTCCCCCCAGAAGGACTCCTGCTTATTCGAAAGTAATTAGCATAAAAATAAATACCACTCATTAAGTCATGTTGTTTTTATCTATTTACTGTTTGATATTGCCGTCGTCAGGGTCGATGTTGTTGTTGTTGTTGTTGTTGATTTTGTTGTTGTTTTTGCCTCTGTTGATGTTAATATCCTGGTCGAGGGGTTCCCCAACCCCCCGCCTTTTCCACACCGAAGGCGGTTCCCATGGCAGGACCTCAATTGAGACGATGGGGGTTATTTGCATAGATGCAGCCACTGTGGAACTAGTTTAATTAGCCGAGAGAAAATTAGCGGTATCGTATTTAAGCCATCGATTTATTATAAAAATATATCCATAAAAAGAATAAAAGAAAATATAACAAAAAATGTATTTTTTATAAGAAAGAGCTATTAAATTGTACTTGTACTCAGCTCTGTTTAACATTTTTGTAAACACCACAAGTAAAAAGTATGGAAAAATGTGTTTTCCCCACTTCCACTCGCCGTGAAAAACAAACCATCAACAAAACTAATCCCACACGTAAAACCTTTGATAAACTGCTCCGAACGAATCACGGCGATGTCGCTGCAAAAAACAGAACCACTTTTTGTGCCACGGACATCCGATAAGTTGACTCCAGTATCCAGTTTTCAGTATCTGTATCTGCAAGTAGCTTCGCCGCTGGCTTACGGATAAATTTGCTTTTTGTCGCAGCTCGAGCTGGAAAATTCCGATTGCAATTTTAATTAGATGCCATACACATCCAGTGAAAAGGGGGAAAAGCGAAGGCGATGCGAAGGAAGCAGTGAAAGCATAACTTCTTGTGCGCTCTGTGGGCCATCCGATGTAATGGAGGCGCAGACATATATCCCATGTCTATATATCCTATATATCGGTTGGAAGATACGTCAATGCCCGAGAACGTTTCTATGTATGTGGGCGAGCGTGTGTGTTTGGGCGAAAAACAAAGCGCGGTGTAGTAAGAGAATTCAATTTAATGTTCATCAAAAACTACAAGAAAAAGTGTTGAGCACCCACACATAGAAGTATCTGTATCTGTATCTGGTTATGTATATCTGTCTGTGTCCGTGGATGGAGGAACCCGGAACAAAGGATAAGAATAAGGACAGTGGCGGCGAAGTGGGGCTCGGGAGGAATCAGGACCTTGATGACGACGACGACGACGGCAGCGTCGGTAACTGTGGCTCGCTGACTACGTCTGTAAATTCGAACAGGGGCGTACTAAGGGGGCTCCGGGGGGTTGGAAACCCCCTTTAAAATTAATGCTAAACTCCCTTTCAATATAGTCGGTAAAATTGTGTTATCTTTTGAGTGATAATATGTATCTGTTAAAATTTATATTTCCTCTTCTTCATTAAACATATTATAATATTAAATTGTTGCAAATTGTTAGTTTAATTTCTTTTCTAGCCCCTCTTCATTTATTTGGCCCTGAAAGTATGTGTGGGTCTGCCGTTATCAGTGTGGGCTTCTCTGTGTGCGTGTGCTTTTGTCTGCGTGTCTGTGACTTTGCCGCTGTAATCAGCGGAAGAAGATGTAGAAGAAGGAGGCGGAGAGGGCGGGGGAAGAAGCAGAGGTGAGGAAGCAGGAAGAGCACAAAAGTTATAAAATACCAGATAGATAGTAATTGCAACAGTTCTGCGCTCCCTCTCTTTCACTCTTTTCGTCTCCCTTCCTCCCTCCCCGCCTAATATCTTTCTGTCTGACTGTGTGTATATGTGTGTGTGTGTGTGTGTGTGACTAGTGAAAATAAGCAGGAAACTGGAAATTACAAATGATACGGAAATAATGCGATATCATGAATCATTTTTACGAGAATCGAGAGTTTGATTCTCAGGGGTAAAACGATTGGTTAGAGGGGATCGGCAATGAGTTCCCCTATAAGCCAACTATACATATGTATGTGTTGTATGGTATATAGGAAGACACTCCGCCGATGGGGGGGAATGTGCCCCCAGAAAGAAAGTGCAGCCTGTGTGGCCGCAGCTCGAGCTTGTGTCAACAAATTTGCATTGCATTGGGCGACCAACTGGCGGCGGCCACACAAATAATGTCAACAGCATTTCCACTCATCAATAAGTGAAATACATAAAAAAAAAAAAAAGAAAAGGGAACCGTCTGGGAAAATTCAGGGCGCATCGGGTTCCATTCCAGCTCCTATTGGCGCCCATTTCCCAAGGAGTGCGGAAAAGCTGACGGCTGATGGCCGGCATATTTATTTTCCCGCCCCTCGCTCTTTTATGCGGCTGTCGCATTCTTGATTTAGCAAATTGACTGCCATGAAAATGCGGAAAAACTTGCGGAAAGTTGCCAGGCGCTTTAAGCATAAAGGAATTCCACTGAAGTTCATCGGCCAGGTATTTCCAAGCACGTTGAAGACGTTAAAAATAATATGCCAAAGCCTGAATCAGAATAAAATTTTATTTAAACATTGGTCTCTATTTTCAGCAAACTTTCACTTATGGAGAAAATATGTTTAGTAATTGTCGTTTCTTGGATGAATTTAAACCTATTAAATTTCAAGAATAGAAATGGTCAACAATGGTAATGCCTAAATAACCGATTTTTCAAACTAATGACCTTACATAATGAAAATTGATTTGAAAAAGTTATGATTTACCGAAAGGTACACTGTACTTTGCATTCTAATTGGAGCTGCAAAGGCACACAGACCGAAAAGGTGGTAATACAAACTTTGCCAATTATCGAACACCATTAATTTGATACGACAGAGGGAGTGAAGTAACGATCAAAAAATGGGGAAACTCAAATCAGCTCAAATCGCAGCATGAAACTTGGCCAGGAACTTAAACCGGGTTCAGTGGCAGGTGAGGGAAAACCCAAAACCAAACTCTCGGCTCAACTCAACCGAACTGAACTCGACTCAACGGAATCTGCAGTTCAGGTCCAGAGATAAAGTCAAATACTTGACAAGTCACAGGTAACAAGTATGAACTTATGAACCCATCAAGTGTGTGCGTATGTGTGTGTGTGTCGCAGTGTATGTGTGGGTGTGTGTGTGTGTGTTGGTCTTTTGCAAAAGTGCTGCAAAGTTTTCAAATTATTTTTGGTTACATAATTGGAATTGATAACTTTGGCAGTTGGCAGAGAACGAGACCCATTCGGGACATACTACACAGCTCTCTCACTCTCTGTCTCGCTCTTTTCCCAACACACACTCCCCATATCTCTCTCATGTCCCTGTTGCCCTCTCTTTCGCCCACGCAGATTGCACTTGTATTTGTCAATAACAAGCAATTTAACAATTTTGTACACAGACACAGAAAAAGCGAAAAACTCTTGTAAAGTTATCATTCAAACTTGAAAATCAATAAAACTTTTGATACAACTCCACTGTGAGAAAAAAGGGGGAGGTGCGGAAGCGAAAGGAAAACACACACGTGACATAACCTCGATCCCGGTAACATTATTCCTTTGTAGCTTAACAACGTACATTTTTAACAAAAAAAATCCCGACAACTTCCTTTCGCCCCCTCTGGAGTTTCCCTTTTAATTTTCCCGCCCAACCCCCTTCATTTCACCCGTCCACCCCCGCTCTCTCCGCCAGGGCTTTCTGCCGTCGACGCCGCTCAAGAAAGTTAATTAAGAAAGTTTGATTTCTTATGGCTAAATAACGCTCCAAAGTTTCACTGACTGACAAATATCGAGCAATAATCAAAGAAAAAAAAAAGGGGGAAGAGAATAAAAAAAAAAAAAATATGAAATTCCTTCGCCACAAAATATTTCCTGTTCCCCTCCCCATTTTTTGGCAATTGATAAGAGTTGGGGTCCCAAATTTTTTGTGGAGGGCGGTCGGGCAATAAAAAGTTTTTCCCTGGCCCCTTTTGTCTGCCTTGGTTACAAACAAATCAACAAATATTTGTTTCTTCTTCAGGCCATGTTCCCCGACTTGTTCCACATCCAAGGGCATCCACATTTTGACTTTCACGATGCTGCAGCCTTCAATAAAAATAAAAAGGGAATCCAGCAAGGGATTGACACGCTGCCCAGGGAACACACTCCTTCATTTTTTATTAGAGTTATGAATTATATAACAACATATAATATTGTTAGGTAGTCCGCAATGCAAAATGCAAAAACAAAGACTTCAGTTAGGGCATTTAGCCACTCCACTCTGGTTTTCCGGTTTATTTGTATATTTGTGCCTTTCATTTTACAATTACAATATTTATTAAGTGCGAAGGCCTACGGCTTTATGAGCTGGTAAGTGGGCAGCAGGCGAATGGAAAAGGGGGGGTGGATCGAAATTGGGTTGAGGGCCATAAAGCAATGACTTATGAGCTGTTAACTGGCCAAACAAAAGGGCCCCGAACGAAACGGAGTCTTGAGTTATGGCAATTTACAAGGATATATTGATGTGGCCAGCGATAGGTTCCCACACTCCGACCACCCAAGTGTTTGCATAGAAATCAACCCGGCTAATTGGCCAAGTGGAGTAGCCCCCGCAAAACCGGGCCAATTTCAGCAGGCAATTTTGCTGGCCAAAACCAAAAAACGGCCCAACATTCATGTCACATGCAACGGAAGTACGAAAGAATATTAAAGAAGCTTTCACTGCGAGCTAAACAACTTAATGACTTCCTGCTAGTTAGGCCTCCATGCGCAGCCACAAAAACAGCAACAGAAGCCAACGAACTACACTGGGCGAAATTCGGAAAAGTTCAAGATACAACTGATACAATTTCTTATAGCGTAAACAAACATTTCAACCAGCGCTATTCTTTTGGGAAAAAGTTTTTTGTATTTCCGTTTTTAAAGTCTAGATGATGTTCGTATTACACTGATTCAATTTCACCACAATTCTTCGCCCTGTGCAGCACAACAACCAAACAACGTACTCAAAACTGTCAACAACAACAAGGACAAGGACAACAACTAAAGACATCTGTGCGAATGAATGTTTCCTTGGGGCTTCTAAGGCCGCCAACGACCGCAGAGTGCGGCCATTATAAAGCTTCAAGGCGGGGAGGTGGAGCGATGCACTGCGATAAAATTCAGTCATTAAATGTACTTTATAAAA